TAAGAGCCCCCTGGTGGCTGAAGAAAAAAAATCCACGTATAAACCACACCGGACTATAAACCGCATGGTTCAAAGTTCAGGAAAAAAGTCGTATTAAAAAAAAGTCTTATAGTCCGAAAAATACGGTAATTAAGTAAAGTTTTATTTGTTGATTAAGCTAGCAGTAAGTGTGGTTGCGGTTCTAATCTAATTTAAAAAAAACTTACAGACACATTGTGACAAGTCTAGAGGAGACAACTTTTTATGCAAGCTAAATAAAAATAAATGTATGTCTACCTTAGTGGGACTTCAGACACTGAGAGGAGGCCAGGGTCTCATAGGTGGGCAGTATAAGGTGGATGCAGACAGGTCTACAGATGATCATCAGTGGATCTGTTCTTGGACTTGATGATTTTCATGTGAGAGGAAGCAGACTCAAGTTCAAAGCACCTCTGATGGTGGGATACATTTCCTCTGACAGCAGACAGCAGACCTCTCCATCCATGCGACTTGTTGCTCTGGATTTGATCCCAATGTCATTTTGMAGAGTCAAAACCTCATTTTCAACACCAGAGCAGTCCAGCTGAAACACGGACATGAATTTGGACACATCCATCCATCCTGGTGGACAACTGCACTTCTACATAGCAGCCACAATCTCACTTTTATTTTTAAAATCACGGAAAAGCACGTCTGTAACGTCAAACGCTTCTTTCATAACTTTGTCATCGCTGAAATACRTTTTCCGCAGTGTTTTTTTGTGATGAGGCAGGTACGGGGCTGCATTAGCAGCCTTACTTCAGCTTAGGAGGGGAAATCCATCTCATAGCGTTTGTGCATTGTTTTGAAAGAAATGCAGTTCCACGTTATCCATTTTGGACAAGCCAAGGCAGCGCTCGAGTTACGTATGAGTCCTCTTCCCACTCCAGGTGAAAATAATAAGTTTTTATTTGCTTGTTAGCTGTCTTTCGTTCATTTCTTTCCACCTCGCTGCCATGTTTTAACACATGACCCTAATCTCGCGAGACCATGTTCGGAGTGCTGTTTCATGGCACCCAAAACTCGYGAGACTGGGCATGTTCAAGAATGCAATGTTAAACAAACGTTGCAAAGAGTGCGTTTAAGGCTGCAATGTTAAACAATGTTGTGTTCGACAAGCTCYGTGATCCATTGCTCTGCAATCGACTTTTAACAGGCTAAAGATCGACCCGTCAATCCCGATCGACTGGTTGGCCTGGCCTGCTATATTGCCTTATGTGTATTAGCTCGGTGCTAGCGCGACAAACAAGCTAAACTGAGGTCCTCCATCCATATTTTCAGTTGCAGACTGAGTCATTTTTGTCATGTGGATGGAGGACCTCA